AACTGATGCATGTTTCTCGGCCCATTGGTCGGCTTTGCGGCATGCCGCTCTGAGTTTCTTGATGGTTTCGCGTTCGCTGTCTCCCTTTGTCATGAAGCAAACATCGTCGACCCACCCGTTGCTAGTCACACCGTTACCGCAGTTCTCAACGAGGTCTGCGTTGTAGATGAGATATAGAATGGGTGAGATCGGTGATCCTTGAGGGATGCCTGTAGGTGTCGGGATTCGATCAGATGTGCCCTCGGGCATGCGGATCCGTGTGCTTCGGTTGGTCAAGAAGGCCCTCACCCAGGGAACGAAGTGTCCCAGACGTCGTTTCTTGAGGTTGTGTAGTAGACGTTCATGGGAGACATTGTCGTACGCTCCGGACACGTCCAGCATCAGCAGAGATACCACTGGCTTGCCCTTTCCCCATGCAGTTTTGATTCGGTCGATGATAATGTGGATAGCATGATCGGTGGATATACCCTTTCGTCCGCCTAGATGGGTTCGTGGGAGTAAACCGTTGGTTTCTGCTGCGTAGCTGATCCGTCGCGCGACAACTGCCTCCAGAAACTTTCCGAGCGTGTTCAGCAACGCCACGGGTCTGTAGGATTTTGCGAGCTGGTAGTCACTTTTGCCTTGCTTCCGGAGCACCACCGTGATTGAGCGCTGGAAATGTGACGGGTTGTATCCCGTGTTTATGCATGCGTTGAATAACTGGACCACTGTTGCTAGAACCACCGGTATCTCGATAAGCTTGTGCCAGAGAGAGTTTGGTATACCGTCTTCTCCGGGTGCTTTCCCTGCTTTCGCTCCTCGCACCGCCTCCTGTATCTCTTGAGCGGTGACTGCTGGAAACTCGATTTGCTGTGGGTACAGGAATGAGTCTGTGTCGGATAGATCGGCCGGCGGTGGTTTTGGGAAGAAGGCAGTCCGGAATGCCTCTGCCTTTTGCTCAACTGTTTCTGCGAGAGTTCCAGGCATTTGGGGATCCTGTATTTTCAGCGAAGGGGTGATACCCTTCTCATATGCCCCGTCTCGGTTTCTTGCCCATTTAGCCAATCGCCACATACCCTGTGGGCCATCTTCAACGACTTGCTGGACTCGGCGCCGGTGCGCTCTTGACAATGTTTTCTTGACGAGTCGCGTTTTCTTGTTGCGTGCTTCCGAGTAGCACATCCAGTCGTAGGGGTCTTTGGTTCTCGTATGTCTGCGACGGAGGCGACGAACTTCTTTGACCGCAACTTTACACTCGTCGTCAAAGTCGGGGTTCGACCACGCGGATGGTTTTGCCCATGGGGTTGATTCCTCGATTGCTGACTGGATCACACCCATTAGCTCCTGGCATTTGGCTTCTATCCTCTGCAGATCTGCCTGGTATAGGCCTCCTGCCTGTAGACCTCCTTCGATCTTCTGGATGAGTTTCTGGTCATCAGTTGCGTTCCAGTTTCTTCTCTTCTGTTGTACAGCAATGGGTGTAATAATATCAAGCACAGTCCTGATCGGGAAATGGTCGGATGCGTGCTCGATGTCATCCGCCCTCTCGCAATTGATAAGCCTGTTGACCAGGTTGAATGTGATGAAGGTGAGGTCAATCACCGACGACTGAGCGTTTCGAGACCAGGTAGGTCTGCCTTGTTGGGTCGTCAACTCGAGTCCCCATTCATTGGCAATTTCTAGGAGTTGCTCGGCCTCCTGATCGGCCCTGGTCCCTGTTCCTCCCCATCTCGGGTGATGCGCGTTCATATCTCCAAGGATGATGTGTTCTCCATGAGGTCGTTTTGACAGCTCATTTCTCAGATGTCTAAGAGTATTGCTGCCCGGCCTATTGTATATGTTGTGTATGAAGAGATCTGTCCAGTCTCTGCCCTGATGAGCCTTTCTAAGTTTCAGTAACTGGTAGTCCTGTGAGACGAGTTGACACGACCAAGTGCTCGGGTCAAGCCTTTTAGACACAAACAGGCATACGCCCGGTTGGGAGAGATCCGAGGCTTGGACTTGATTGTCCTGGCCTTGGGTTGTTCCGTCGGCAGCTGCTTTTGGTGGGTAAATTAGCTGGAATGTTGCCGTCGCTGGTTGGTGTGCTGTGTGTTGCATTTCGTTCTTCCATGGCTCCTGCACCGCGACGACGTCCGCCGCGAGGACATTTCTGTCTCTGAGGAACGTTGCCATCACTGGCCACGATTTGTGTACGTTGTATTGAAGAATCTCAAACGATTTCATTGATGAGTTTGTTCGTCATCGCTTCGTTCGCTGGCCTCGTGCCATACTTCATCATTTGGGTCTTCGATTGTTGGTGCATCCGTCGTAAAAATCGGCGGAGAAGATCCGATTGGTATCGCTTGTCGCTGCTTGTATTTCAGAACCACCAATTTGCGGTATTCGGGGCTCTCCGGGTCCAGTTCGTCCTCGTCATCAGGCTCGGACGTGTTACCGGCCATGTTGACAGAGGTGACCTCGTTAATGAATTGGGTAAGTCGGTGTTCCCGGCTATCCTGCGGAGTGTCAGGTTGAGGGAGATCGGCCGGAGTGGGTTGAATGCTGAGCCATTCATTGTCGTCTGGTTGCTCGTCCATGGTGTCGTCCGGCTCGCCTGTGCGGCGCCTTTTCGAGGCCGCTTGGAGCCTTGTTGACCCTTGGCATGCTAGTGGTATCATTGCTGGTTTCGGATTCTTTGGCCTCGTTCTTGAGCCTTTTGGGCGACCAGGACCTCTTTTGAGCTGAGTAGGCTGAATAGGCTCAGTGTTTTCCTCTGGTGATGTTTCTACTTCTATTGCTGCAGCCTCCACGTCGATTACAGCATCCTGGGGGTTCCGCCGGGGCTCTTCCCCCCGTTGCTCCTCTGGAGCGTGTATCGACGCTTCGAGTCCATTCGTGGCCATGGGGTCTGCCCTGGTCGAAGTTGCTTCTTTGCCAGTGCTTGCCGTCACTCGGAGGTGCAGAGGAACGCGGTGATATGCAGGGCAGTTGGCCAGCGCTTGCTTGGCTTCGTTCATCGCTGCAACCTTCACCGGACATTCCCGACTTGTAGGGTGATGCCCTTCACCACAGTTGGCGCACTTGACTGGTATCGCTTGCCCCTTCGTCGACGGACACTCTCAGGTCGGGTGTCCGTTGGCGCAGTGACCGCATTTGAATAAGTTGGAACAGTGTGACTGGATATGCCCCGGCTTTTGGCATTTTCTGCATAGCTTTATCCGCCCCTCACGACAGAATCGTGATGCATTGTGAATTTGCTTCCCCCACACGATTCCCGAGATGATCGCGCGATTAGCCACGACTGGGCTGGTGAACTCGATCAGGATGGAGCCCTCCGCCCTCTCACCCGGACGGGTCATCCATCCTAGATACTGAATCTTAGCGCCTTCGCCCCAGTTGTTCTGCCTGAGCAGCTCAGCCGCAACGTCAGCCATCGTCTCCGGAGTAACCTTCATGGACCTCACGGGAATATGGTACGCCACCACTCCCCATGACGGTTCTTGGACCACCGAGCCTGGTCCAAAGGCTCTCAGCCACGCAGCATGTTTGCGGAGGACCTCTGCCCCTGCCGCACTGTTGGCGATCATTGCCACATCCCCCGACGGCAATTTTCGAGCAGCGACAAAGAAAGCCTGTCCGGCCAGTACCCCTGAATTCTTCTGACGGGCATTTGATACCCTCTGTCGTTCAGCCCTCTCGACCAAATCTTTTGGTGTCAATCCACGGATTTGCTCGCGGTTCATTCCGACCTTGACGATGACCTCTCGGTCCTCGCGAAGTTCCATTTCCGGTACTCCTGGTGACGATGTGCCGCCGCTCCGGGTGATAGGAGCCGCAGCCGTAGCCAAGTCGCGCTGCCATTCTTTGGCCCGGAAGTTGCGCCACGCTGCCGCAGAGTTCGCCGCGGGGGTAGATAGTGCCGTCGATAATGTGCTCGTTGTCTTTTCTATGGTATCAATTCGCTGGTTCAGGCGTTCGGTGTCGGCGTTGATCTTGGTCAGCGCCTCAAGCACCTTGGCCATCCCCTGGCCGTCTCCCCGTTGGGCGTTGAGTGCGTACTGGCGGACAGCACGAATATATCCAGTGACATACCGGTCCTCCGTGCCATTGTTCTCGATGTGGTTGAGCACCCTGCGGGCCCCTTCCGCGATGTCGTCCATGGATCGGGGTGGATCCGCGAGGGCCGTGGTTTTTGGTGTTCCTCTCCTGCCAGGGGGCAAAATATGTGCGTTCGCACCCGTCCCAACCATCGCTGCCATCTCCCCTATAAAAAGGGTATCAGGTCGTAGCGCTTGAGGTTACGATTACGATGAACTAATTCACGAGGCTGTGAGACCTCTGATTGGCTAGATATTTCAAGAAAACGTTTTTGCCCCAGAACACGAGCGACCAAAATCAAATAGGAGTGTCCATGAATAGACATAGGGTGTGTATTTGTTCTACCTCCTACATTCCCGTATACACAAACAAGCAAGAGCGTCTCTCTCGAAGATATCACAGATTGTTAAGGCAATTCATGTTTGAATGGGTGGCATACACCAATTATTAGCTCTGCTGGGTTTTTATGGTTAGGTTTAGTTGCCCTATTCAACGGAAGCCTATTTATCACGGGAGCCATCTTATACCTCAGCATCACCAGATTGCCGCTAACTATCCCAGGATTTGTACGGTAGCAGCACTCCGCATGGATGTAGACATTAGATTTGTGCCTCATAAATACCACCAGATGCAGTTATAAGGGTAAAAATTCAGTCTATTTAAAGCATACCGAGCACCAATTGTGGAAATTGGCGACTTCCCTTAACGCTCCACCTTGAACTTGCGCGATCTGGTTAGCATCTCTCGTACTGTAGTTAAGAGTGCCACTAGACCGTAATTGGTGGTGATGTATTACGTCATAATAGCTTCGCCCGCGTCAACTTGAAACAGCATATTCGAATACACATCTTATTTGATCTCTTTTGGTCTGATTGGTTGCTGCCCGTAACCAGCATACTGGATCCTCCGGAATCGTCAGCTAGCTTTGACTAATCGTTGCCTCATCGAGTATTGTTGTCACCTGTACCCTCCACTAATAGATGCTCAAACAAGAATTGATATCCAGGCTCTATCCACTTCTTCCACTGCGCATCCCCCGGTTTCAATGTCAAATCAAAGATATGCCTTCTGCGTGGCACCACTTGCACCTCACCATCCAGACCTCTCGCCTTCATCTCCTTGATGAATGTCACGCTCATCTGACATGGGACGACCTCGTCTTTCTCCCCATGAATGATGTACGTCGGTGTGCGATATGACCCGTCGCGCACGTGTGCCAATGGACTTAGCGACTGGATTTGGATTGTAGTGGGTAGTAGTAGTCTGTTCAGTGAGCCCGTGAAACCATTGAGGAGGAGAGAGAGACCATTGCCACCAGCAAATAGATTCAAAATCAGTTCCGAACGCGGATCGCCTCGGCACAGGAGGCCGAGATTCTCTTCAGAGGCGCCGATACCCTTGGGGCCATCGTAGTGGGAGATCTGCTCACCAACGTTCCGCATGAAGATTTCCTTCGCGGTGGAGGCGGCTTACCACTTTGCCGGAGAGGGCTCTTTCAATGCTCTCAACATCCATGGTGGGGGCGGGGTATGCTCCTAGATCTCGGAGAGTCCAATCTGGGATAATTCATCAGCAATCCCAGCGAAGGAACCAAAGGGTACCGTTCCGAGAAAACGCACACTCATGCTCAAAGTCAGTTGGGGCGTAAAAGCTCAGAATCGCGGTCGGAGGTTTGACGCCTTTCTCGAAGCAGGTCCAACCCGTTGTTATCGCTAAGTGGCCACCAGTGCTCCAACCCACTACGACCAACTTGTCCACGTCCACCAGAACTCCTTGCTCTTTGGCGATCCCAGGCAAAGTAGTCCGGGCCCAAACCAAGGCATCGCAAATATCGGTGATAGGTCCAGAGTGCACGTCAACCTCAGGACACAAGCGATAGTCAAGGGAGATGGGTAGGAGGTTGTTTGTAAGAAGATACTGAGTTTGGTGAGGGCGGATGGCTCGCCGGGAGAGAGTCATATAACCACCGCCATGAAGCATCAGTGCTAAACGGATTTTTGGATCAGGGAGTGGTAATTGTAGAAGGACAAAGAATGCCTACCTACCGATCGGCATCGGTTTGTTCCTGGATCGATCTTGAGGCGGAGGATAGTAGATGTCGGCTTCAATTGGTAGATCGTCGACCACTTTATATGGCACTGTCCGTAGCTCGTAACGCTGGGTTTCATTCTTGGTTCCGATCTTGTGAAGCCTAGTCGAACCGATGATGATCTGTTGCGTAGTCGACTCCTTTGTCGAACCTGTGGTCCATCCGCAGGAGCCGAACCCGGCTTCCTGAAGATAGCTAACCCATGCATGAGGTGGTTGCAGGGGATAGTTTCTCCCGTCTTTTGCTGACCACCAGCCAGATAGCAACCCAAAGACGAGATCGAACCAGTTGATGTTGCGTGTCAGTTCCAGCAGCACCACGAAGCCGTCTTTTCGGAGCATCGATTTAATGCGCGTACAAGAACGAGTGATATGGGACGTGGCATGCACCACATTGGTTCCAAGGACGAGATCATACTTCGCTTGCAGGGTGGCTGGGGGTCTTTTTCCAGGTCCAGGGTACAGAAGTCCATCCAAGGATACTGCTGCGAAAATTTCCTCTTTGCCACATTAACAAGCGTGGGCGAGATATCTGTGAATGTGTATTGAACGGCTTTGTTTCGAGATTGGAGTAACTCGCACAGTTGTTTCGTAGTACCCCCCGTACCAGCACCGACTTCAAGAATCCGGAATGGCGCTTGAAGATTGCCTCGCGGTATGACTCGGTCCATCAGATCGAGGAGGAGATTGGTGGATGGTTTGAAGAGCGGTGAATCACTGTAGAACTTGTTGAGCACATCTTTTCCGGTTGGAGTTCCGAACAGCAACCGAACAGCATCCTCTTGCTCCGTCAAACATCGAGCCAAATGAGGCGCAGTCACAGATATCAACTGAGCGTCTGTGGTGTACTTAGGATGGGAGGTAGTCAACCGATCTAACAAGGCCTCAGGAAGCAAGCTCGGGAGAGGCTTTGTCGACCGGGTGATCTGGGATCCTCGCCTTTTGACGATTCCGTATTCTGTGAGGATATCCCACAGACGTGATACGAGCCGGCTGTGCTTTGGCGAGCAATCGAGCTCCGGGACGGTCTCACCCTCTCGGAGGTCGCGGAGACGTATACCCAGTTGCTCAAACGCTTCAGTAATATAGGCGACGGTCAATTCGTCCTGTTGGAGCACAACTGTTTCCCAATAACCAGTCAACCCATGGCGGTCAGCAGCCGCAGTAAATAGACTCTGACAGTCATTGAGAGCCTCAAGAGGGTCGCGGCTGGGACTGCTGTTATTATCGAGGCCTGTATTTCCTAAGCACTCGTCCTTTTGAGAGAAGGAGATGGCTGGTGGTTCCAATGAGGTGGGTGAACGATTTGGCGGGCTGCTGGATGGGGTCAGGGGCTCGTAGACAGCGTTCGACGCCGCACCCACTGTGGAAAGCAAAGTCTCCACGGTGGTGCTCAGGTCCAGCTCGAGCTCACTTCCGTAAATTTCCAAAGCGGACTTCAATTCAATTAATGATAGAGAATCGAATCCAATAGCATCCAAACTCGCAGTTTTCACGATCGAAGACATATCGACTGCGGCATATTCGGCGAGCACCTTGAACACAGCATCCTTCAACGCGGAGGTTTCAAAATTGGGATTTGATGGGACCTGTGTCGCATCAGCTAATGGTGGACGCATCGGCTGCAACATATTGCGATCGGATGTCTGGTTTAGAAGAGAGACCAAAGCAGTAACGGTGGTAGATAGGTCAAAATCCAGCTCTACTCCGAATGCTTCCTGGACTGAAGATATGAGCTCAATCAAGGAAAGCGAATCAACACCGAGTGCCTCAAACGTTGCGTCTGGTGTGATTGACTGGACATCGATCGCAGCGTACTCAGCAATCAAGGTGAGGATATTCTCTTGCCGCCCAGAGTTGATAGAAGTTTGGTTGAAAGCCGGAGAGAGGAAGGAAGATACAATTCCCGTAGAAGCACTCCTGGAAGGATTCGTTCCAGACAGTGTCTTATCAAGATCAGGCGTCCAACTCTGCATTTTGGGCAACAAACGAACAATTCCCTCAATATTGGTCGCAAGAACCTCGTTACTGCCAATTTCAACATGAAATCGCGACCGCAGCTCATCCACCAGTTCAATGGCTGCCAATGAATCAACACCCAAGTCGGCTATCGCAGCATTGATTGAAATCTCCCCAGGGCTCAGTCCGATAAATTCAGCCATAACTTTCTTGAGAGCTACAATGCTCGCCTCATCAATTCCATTCTGTGTAGAGGAAGTGGACGGACCTTCATTGAGGACTTTGGGTGCCGTTGTGGAAGGGGTTGGGAGGTGGATAGCCGGGCAGGCACTGAATTGCTGATTCAGTCTGCTCCGGGAAATTGTGTCGTCCTGAGTAACTGGACCTAGAATTTTATGAAGCGTGCTGAGTGGCAGTTTAGAGAAGTGCATGCCAGTGATTGTCACAACTAAGGCCTCGTCGTTGCCAAGGACAAAAATATCTCCTGTTGCCTTGGCATCGCCCACGGCACAGAAGGAGGCATATACGCGCCCCTTTCGCATGGCTTTAAAATCACAGCCAGGGTGAACGACGATGGAATCTGCACCGGTGGCGAGATAGGCCTCGTCATCTGCGCAGAGATCACTCGTGTTGACCAGTAGGCCCAGGACCTGAACGTAGTTATCCAGAGCTATGGTATCACAGGCACTAACTGCAGTACTTTCTTCCGTGTCAGAAGCGGCCGGTAGAGCTAATTCTGCCATGACCTCAGTTCCAGCCATCACGACCACGGAGATGCCCTGCAGAATTGAGGAATAGTTTACCACACGGGAGAACAATTTATAAGCCCGGTGAGTTCTGAAGGTCTCTGTCGGCGGTGCGATGGCCACGAAGTTGCTCAAGCGCGCTTTAAGAACTCTCTGTTGATACTGGAACTGTCTCGCCTGGTGGTCATCGAGGGCGGCAAAGAGCCTGAAACTGGCCTTCGCATGGACAGTCGATTTGGACTTGAGATTTCCAATTGCCGAACTCTCCACGGTAAACGTCCAATCAGGACTGTGTTTTCCTCGGATAGTCAAATGGACAGCCCTGCGCGTGTCGATCCCAAGTGGGGCGTCGATGCGGAAGTTCCATAATGAAAACCCAGGCCTATCACCGCTATCTAGTACAGACGTCGCAGCCATTATAACGAATTCAATATATAGGGCAGCTGGGCACAGTGGATGGCCGATCACATTGTGGCCTGTGACAATGGACCGAAACCGTTCGGTCAGCGTACCAACGCCAAAGCACAAAGTGTGAGGATCTTGCTGCGCGTCTGTGTAAGGACTGACCAATTTCAACGAGACTCCCTTCGATTCTGTTCGAGGCTCTGGTGCTTTGAGAGTGCGAGTGCGGAGCGCATCCTGGATCGGGTCCACATAGGCAAGCCAGGCTTTCGTACGCTCGAATGAGTAAGGGGGAAGCCATATCGGTTTGACTCCAGCAGTCTTGAAGTTAAAGAAAGAGACGGGAACGCCCTCACGCCATAACTGCGCAGTAGCCTCGCTAACTGCATCCATCGGATTCTGTCTAGTGCCAAGCTTAATGGGTATGAAAACGTGCTCTTGAGGAGCTGAAACAGCCTTTTTTATCATGGGAATGATTGGCGAATCAACGCCAGCTTCGAGCCAGATGCATGAGCCGAGATGCTGCTCCAGCCGGTGCACCGCGTGATAGAAAAAGACCGGCCGCCGCATGTGCTGAGAGATTCGCTGGAACGAAATATGGCTTACTGGGTCGCGCGTACTACTCTCCACGGGAATCTGCGGGGAGGAAAAGTGACATCGCTCGGCGGCCTCGTCGAGGTCCCCGAGCAATGACTCTGAGAATCGGGAATGGAAGCCGTGCGTGGTGTCTACCTTGGAAGACGCTATGCCTCTAAAGGAAGGTTCCTGGAGCAGAATATTCTCGATGGCGGCAATCGCGTCAGCTGAGCCAACGATAACATGGCTTGTCGGCGCATTGTAGCATGCAATCTCGACTTCTCCCGAGCCGTCAGGCAAACGAGCGATGATGTCGTGAATCACTGGCTCTGTACCGTGGATGACAACCATAGTCCCTTGCTCAGGGCCCCACTTCGACTGAATCAACTGCGCTCGGGTCCTGACGAGATCCATGGCATCTTCCAGGGACATCACACCTGCAACTGCCATCGCAGTCAACTCCCCGAAACTGTGGCCGACGACAGCGTCAACCTTCAACCCGGACTCAATCCATGCCGTGGCACAAGCATATTGCAAGGCGAATAATGAGCATTGCAACAGGACCACATCAAAATGGGGCTTAGTTTGGAAAATCCACGGATAAAGGGAGGGCGACCCGCTCCTCACGAGATAATGATCACATCGGTCGAGATGCTGTTGTAGAAGAGGGCAAGATTCATACAGCCCTTTGTGGAGCCCAACTGCTTGCTTGGCTTGTCCACTGAAGGCCAACACCAGCTTTTTGGGAGTCTGTGGGACTTCAGTGACTTTTTCCAAAGCATCGAGGCTCCCCGACAGTGTCGAGATATCCTCAGCGGTGCACGTCCAAGCAAATCGCTGCGGCTTTCGACACTGAAAAAGGGTTAGTGCCACATCGCCAATTTTTGGTGCAGATCCTGCGAGATACTTCTTCAAGCTTCTCGCATTCGCCGAGAGACTATTTCTCGACGCCGCCGTCAATATTATGGGATAAGGGGAAGGCAACCTCGGGTAAGGAGCTGCATCCGGTTTGTCCTGCTGGGGACTTTGGCAGAGCAGCAAGGCTGCGTTGCTTCCCGCCGCGCCATAGCTGTTCACACAAATTGCCCGGAATGGCGCCCTCCATGGTTGAGTTGCGGTCGGGATGACCATCTTAGCAGGTTCAATCGACGGAATCTTCGGATTAAGGCGTTGGAAATTGGCCATTGGCGGGATGAGGCCTTTGTTGATCATGAGAATGGCTTTGATCACCCCTGCCACACCCGCCGCACTCTCACAGTGGCCGATGTTGGCCTTGATTGATCCCACATACAGTGCATGTTCTCTTGTCGGACTGGCGAATCCCCGCCTAATGCCTTCGATCTCGACGGGATCTCCGACCTGGGTGCCCGTTCCGTGGGTTTCCACGTACGTGACGAGCGAGGGACTCATGTTGGCCTCTTGCAAAATGTCTTTGTACAGCTGCAACTGCGAGGCAGTGTGCGGAACAGTGATGGACTTGGGGTCACTGCCTTGGTTTGTGGCGATGCCCGGAATGACTGCGAAAATCTTATCGTGGTTGGCCATGGCCTCCACCAACGGCTTGAGAACCAGCAAGCCGACCCCCTCGCTCCGGCAGTAACCGTCCGCTGCCGCATCAAATGGCTTGCATTGGCCTGTCTGACTGAGGAAACCTGCCCTGCCTAGGTCGAGAAAATGTGTTGCAGTCCCTAGGAAGTTGACGCCTCCAGCTAAGGCAGTCGTACATTCTCCGCGTTGCAACGCTCGGCAGGCGCGAGATATCGCTACTAGAGATGAGGAGCAGGCAGTATCGATGACTTCGGATGGCCCCGTCCATCCGAAATAATGGCTGACCTTGCCACTCAAGAAGGCCGTGATCGTTCCCGTCGCGGTGTACGCGTTCGGTGCGTGAGCAGACGTATGCTCCAGATAGTCAATAAAACTGGCGCCGAGGAAGACTCCCACACGGTCACCAGCGTCTCGGCGCTGGGTGGAGCAGATATATCCACTCGATTCCATCGCCTGGTAAGCAGTCTCGAGCAGGAGGCATTGCTGCGGATCCATATAAGTGGCCTCTTTGCTGCTGACTCGAAAGAATGAATAATCAAAACAGTCATGGTCGGTGATGAAGTTCCCATAGAATTTCTGCTTGCTGGCCCATTTGCAGTCTGACTGGACGCGAAAGGAGTCCTGGAAGTTAATGCGCTCTGTGGGCACTTCTTGGACCATGGACTTTCCCGAGGATATGATCTCCCACAGCTCTTCCACACTATTGACGCCTGGAAATCGACCGGCTAGGCCGACCACCGCGATCGCACGGGAAGACTGGTCCGTTGGGATGCCAGGGCTCGGTTCCAGTTCCGGGGCTCGGGTAGGAGACATGCCCAAGAGGGTGAACATGTCCATCTTCGAGATCTGGACCCCAGCATCCCGGAAAGGCTTGAGGGATACGCAGTCTCCGATTCCGAACGCTGCCAGGAAATGTGTCGTTCGGCCGGTGCGGCTCAGATCCATGGCCACTTCGGACAACAGCTGATACCACTCGCACTTGTCGACGAGGATTGTCCGTGCAATCTCGAGCGAGAAGGAGCCTTCCGTGCTAATCTTCGTCGTCCGGTTGGACCTGAAGGGAACCAGGGCACAGGCCGCGTGGGGAATGCGCAATTGCTCATCCGCGTCACAAAACTTGGATAGCTCTTCCACTAACTGGAGATTGTCGGGATGGTGTAATTTCCCTCGCAGGGGTATCAACTGCACGGTCAACTTTTGCGCGACGGCGAACTGCTGGAGCTCCAGTAAACACCTCGCCGGTCCCACGATGCTGACCGTTCTGGTATCCGTGATGGCCGATATATGAGTCTAAGACCAGGCGAGGTCAGTATCAGTCGGTGTCCAGTTCGCCTGACGTCATTTTCGATGGTGTTGGGGAGAGAAAAGGGGGGGAGCGGATGTGGACATCCTCCATACGCACTCCTGGAAAAGACTTAACGATCTCTTCCGCTTGGCCTGCACGTTTCAGACGGACCACCATGATGGTCGACATTTTCGACGGGTTGTCATCTCCCACATCCCCCGCCGCTCCAATGCCCACAGCGATTCGGATAATTTTGCACGCATGGGCGACAATTTCTTCCTCGTCATGGGCGCAGGCCACGGAAACGGCCGCCAGCATCCCCCCACAGTACCCTTGAATTCCGCCTCCGCTGTGGAAATGGTTGATCATCTCATGATGGGTGCGGTTCGTCTGGTCCAGAAACTGAAAGTACTGGGCCAGATGGATGACTAACAAGAGAGGGAGCGCCAGCATCCCCGACGGCACCCCGTCGAGGGCACCGATGCCCTCCTCATCCGAAGAAATCCAGTTGGACAAGTTCTGGAGGCATCTGGGGCCATCTTCCAACGTCGCAAAGCCTGGATGAAGCGGCCGGAACGCTGCCCAAACTCGAGGCAAGTCTTTGATGGCTTGTACCAACGGGACCAGGACCGCCTTGCTCCGAATGTAGGAGCGCAGCTCCGAGAGGTATCTATCAGATGGTGTCTTGCTCTGGGGACCAAAAATCGCCAGCGATGGAAGAGGGCCGGAGAACCACGGAGAGGCCATCATGAAGCGGCAGACCTGGAAGGGAAAAGCAATGCAGTGCTAAGAAAAGTTAACGCGCAGCGTTGGAGCTGCAGGAAGCGATGGAGATTGAAGTTGGATATTCGGTTCCAGTATAAGCCTTTTAACTCCACTGCTCATTGTGATCTTATCACGGTGGGTCTACTCACGAGCAGGCATTATCTCGTCAAGTGGGTCTCACCAGAGAACTGGACGCGGCAGAGAAGCTTAGCTGGCTGGGCGCAACTCAATCCACATGGTTGTATCATACGAGTGTCACTCCGTAAACTACGGAGGTTGTTGGAGCACCTGAATAGTCCTGCACCTCATACCGCTGTTTGACCGTGTCTATGACACGGGGCGCCCCCTTTTGTTCAACAGAGGTCGAAAACAAAAGTAAGCTATTCCAATTTAGGATTTAGTCTATTGTATTGTATTGTTCAACCACACCTACTGTGACGGTTCATAAGTTTTAACAACACCCATGGACCCACTACTAATTACATAATTTTCTGCCGGTTTTAAAACCTCATGCCCATTTTAACTAGTACTGTGTATACCATCCCTGGCTATCAATAATGGCTTGCACCCGATGCGGCATAGTCTCAGAGAGATGCTTTAGGTGCTCAAGGTTCAATTGGTCCCATGCAATCTGTGCTGTATCTATTAAAATAGCCTTTGTCTCCTCATTATTCCTCATGTCAATAAGATCAGGCCGAAGCTTATAGATCTCGGCCTTTAACAACGCCCAGAGATTCTCAATTGGATTTAAATCAGGCGAATGTGGCGGCCATTCCATTACCTCGAGCTCTAAGTCCCGTAGAGCTTCTCGGACGATGTGGGCAGTATGCGTTGGCGCATTATCATGCTGAAAAATCGACCCTTCGTACGATATTAAGGTAGGTAGGATTCGGAGGTATAGATCCCGGATAACGATGCTATTCACACCTCCACGCTCTGATTCCGGATCCCCGAATAGCGGAACTAAACCAGTTCGACGGGTAGCGCCCGAGAAAGCAGCCCAAAACATCTGCTTAACCTGCTTTCCCCGTTGTGGAAGGCCTTGAACTTGTCCGAGTTTTGGCTGGTCTTTTGGCCGAGTAAATGTCCATTCTTGACGGACACCAATTCCACGCTCTACCGTACATTCATCGGACCAAAAGACGCGAGCCCAATCTTCAGGAGTAAAGTGTTGATAGCGAAAAGCCCATTGACGCCGTTTAAAGGCATATTCCTCGGTCAAATAAGGTCGCCAACTACATCGCCATTTCCGGAGGTTCTCGGCATTTAAGAGTCGTCGGATAGAGGAGGTTTTAACTTTATAAGAAACCTCAGCAAGAAGGTCTTCACGGGTAACTCGAGGGTTTTCGTGAACAGCGTCTAAAAGACGTACTTTTTCAGCCTCATCTAGCTTCTTCGGTCGGCCAGAACGCGGCTTCGAGACACCGGCACGTCTTTCATGCTCTTTTTTAATAGTATAGCGTATAGTCGAGAGAGAAATCCAAGCGTATCTCTTATGAATACGCCTATAACCCCATTGAGCAGCTGAATGAAGCTCACATATCCTTTCACGGAGGGCTGGTGTGAGTTCTGAGCGTAAAGGCATGTTTTTGAACGCTTATAGTAGAGAACAGGCTTAATGAATAGGGGTAATAAGTCAAAAAACGCGAAGAAATCGGCTAAAACGCGACATACGTGAGACTTGCTAGTGTGTTTACACTAGGCGGTGTAGTATTATTAAGAAGGCGGTAAGTATGTGGGTCCATGGGTGTTGTTAAAACTTATGAACCGTCACAGTAGTTATTATTATTACAATACTAGTGTATACCAGTTTCAAGTATAAAGAATGGCTGAATAGTATATTTAGTTATATAACACAATAAGGTTAAAACTCAAGGCACTGCCTCTTCGAAGTTTCATACGAGCTGAATCCTGCCTATAATCCCTAAAATTTAGTGGTCCTTATTCGCCCGACTTATCGCTTTAGCTCTTTCCAAATAAATCATAAACGGATATTAACGGATAGAATGACATAGCCGTGTCACGGGACGACCCCCCACCCTCTCGGGTAGGGGGTGTCCCTCAGCCATAATGCAATTCTCAGCCATAATGCAAATTCTCGACTTTTTCAACTTTACGTGTATTCCTACCTACCAAAAATGCCTAAAAAACCTCGTGATGAAGAGGACCTGCTAGCTAAGGCATTACATGCTTATACTACGCGAGAATTTTCCTCCCTACGTAAGGCTGCGGACCATTATCGCGTGTCTTATTCGAAGCTTCGCGGTCGCAAAAACGGACAGACATCTCTCTCCGATCGCCCTACCACCAATAATGCATTGAATTCGAATAGGGGTCGGCACGAATACATATTCGTAACATTTTGAGATATTCGCATTCGCATTCGTAGATCACAGACCTCTACGAATATTCGTATTCGCAAGGCCAATATTCGTACGAATATTCGTACAAATATTGCCCCGTCACCAAAACTAACTCCCACCCAATAGGAAAAAGTATATCACGTGCAGTTTGTTTATCCAAGTGACAAGTCGCGTCCGAATCTGACAAGTTTATTTCAAGGACGTGTTTCGATGACGGTAATAGAGCTCAGAATGTCTGGTGCTGAATTGCCAGCTTCAAACAATGATGGCTCCGGCAGCTCATCTGTTGAATTGCCACCACGCCCCCAACGGTCTCAGAGAATAGACTACCACTTCTTAAATGGTGGAAGTGACGAAGACGATATTGAAGATCATATCAGAAAGAAATCCCGACTGGATTCGCCACCTGGTCGCTTAGAATCGATTGGTCCTGAAGACTCCGCCAGCCAGCTGCATCTCAATCTACCTACTCCGTCGGAATCTGTTCCACCAGGGAGCTCTAGATGCTTTACAGAGGCCATACGGCCATACAAATCGCACAGAAAAGCCCGCATTAAGCCACTGAATCAATGGCTTTGGAATCAATTTCGAGTTAGTCCTCTTCCGGGCAAGCAATGGCGGCCCAGGCGAAGCCGACAGCTGCTTGAGGATCGAGAGATTCAATGCATTCATTGTGGCTGGAAAACCACAGATTCGGCAAGGGCAACATCTACGACCAACATGAAGACGCACCTAGCCAAACACAACATTTTCGAAAAGTCCGGTCCAGAGGACCTGGGCGAGGGTTCCAGCGAGACGAAACAGCACTCAATTGCTTCAATATTCCAGTCCCGAGCCGAGCATGATACTAGAGCCCTGTTGGAACAGAACATACTTCGATGGGTTGTGACAGATGATGTGGCATTTACGGCAATTGAGTCCCCTGCGTTCCAACAGATATTCAAGGACTTGCCGGACGCTCCTCTTCCTTTCTCTTCTCGAACAGTTGCCCGCCGCATTGACGCAGATTTTGATCGCTGTCGGGTCCAGTTGATCGATGAACTAGCACGGACATGCTCCACAATTGCGCTTTCCTTGGATGTCTGGACAAGCAAGAACCATAAAGCCATTCTGGGAGTTATCGGTCACTGGGTGTCCACCGACTTCAAATATCAAGAACGAGTCCTGGAGTTCAGCGAACTTGCTGGATCCCACAGTGGAGAAAATATGGCGGAGACTCTGCAGAAGATGCTTGTCGAGCTTCGGATTGAGGAGAAGCTGCTCACAATCACAGCTGATAATGCGTCGAATAATGAAACGCTGGTGTCTGAGCTGTATTTTCACCTGTTGGAAAAGTACAACTCGGAGGATTCCAAATTGCCCGATAAAGGACGTCTCCGATTTCAAGGTATTGACAGCTACATCCGGTGTCTTGCACATGTCCTCAATCTCATTGTCCGCGACATCCTCTCGAGGATGAAATCTGGAGATCACAAGTCTGCCATTGAAGCCTGTGATCTCTTACAGGGAAATAAGAAAATCGGACGGCAGTCTGCGTTAGCCCGGATTCGGATCATGACTCTCTGGATATTGAGGACACCTCAACGACGACAGCAGTGGAAAGTGACTTGCCAAGCAAATGGCTTGAACGACAAGTTCATCGAGTATGACGTGGAAACCCGCTGGAACTCCACATACCGTATGGTCCAGGGAGCCTTGCAAGCCAAAGCACAGATCCGGATGTGGATAGAGCATCAGAACCAGTTTCCGCCATTTTCAGCTGACGACTGGTTGCAGCTGCAACAGCTCGAAATGATCCTCTCCAAGTTCGATGAGTTCACTCAACTGGTTTCCCGGCGGAAATCCCAGATCAGCCTAGCCATTCCCATCTATTACGAACTGAATGACATGCTCGAAGATGCAGCTTCTGCACAAGGCGACTTTTCGGGGCTTAGCTCTGACATTACCTCCGCCATCTCCGCGGGGATGAAGAAATACAAGAAATATTATGAACTGATGGACGCCCAAGATGCTTATTATATAGCTCTTGTCCTTGACCCACGCTTCAAAACCCTCTTGTTGGATAAGGAGCTCGGGCAGGTGACGGCGCCAAAGGTTATTCGATCCATCAAGGATACCTTGCATGAGCAATACCCATCGAAATCATCACTGGAGCAATCAACGTCAAAGATTAACCAGGACAACAAGCGGCAAAGTCTGGAGGCTCGTGTTCTGCAGAAGCTGCAACCACAAGTGATCCAGCGTTCAGATATTGACCGCTACTTTGAGGAAGGTGTGGTGACTGTTGATGAATCTGTAACAAAGGATGAAGATTGGTTATTTGGCTGGTGGAGGACGCACAACGATGAGTATCCGCGGATGGCAGCTGCAGCCAGGGATTACCTTGCCATTCCGGCGGCTGAAGTCGCAGTAGAGAGGTTGTTTAGCCGTGGTAGGGATCTGTTAGGAGTACGTCGACATTCTCTAAAAGGTGGGACAATGCGGAAAGTGATGCTGTTGAGAGATATATATAGTTCAGAGAACACCCAGTGAAAAATCCTAGAGCGTCTTGCTGGTATTCCCAACCAGCCGCTGCTTTGCTTCGAAGGATATAGTAGTATAAAGCCTCTGTGGATCATT